CTTCCTTTTCAAAGAGGAATGGAGGAAAGAAGCAGAAAAATAATTTTTATTGGGTTAATATGCTGCCTCTACTTGTCTCACAATAAGAGCAATTGAGCTTAAATACCAAAAAAGACTTTTCTATAAGAACTGAAAACATAGTGAGAGCCAAAGGGAGGATGGGCTGGAATAATCTTGGTTCACCTTCTCTCACTATAAGGAATATTCTTCTGCTCCTCTCTCATACATAAGTGCTTAGGATTTATATGAGCCTTATCTATACTAGGAGCAGATCATTCTATTTAAGGCCAAAAAAATGGATTCAGTAATGCATCTTGTATTTAAAGATATGTGAATATACTTTTCTTAAAAATAAAACAATACACCCCTGCCTGACTTCCTAGGACCTTCATAATTGAGGTATAGTCATTTGGAGTTGGAGCTTCTGAAATCAACCCTGATTCTGCCTTTTTCACTTCTCCAGACCAAACTTACCCAGATTCTTTAATGGCTCCCAAATCACAAGTCTTTCATCTATTCCGTTCTTGTTTTCTATTTTCCTTTCTATCACTGTCCAGATGGTACAGATTTTTCTTAAAAATCTGTCTGAATGTAAAGGGCCTCGGCTAAGGTGCAAGCAGGGCATGGGAGGTGATATATCACCTTCCTTATTATAGAACTATTGCTGATATTAATGCAGCTTAATGTTTATTAAGTTCTTTGACAGGCACTTCAAACTATTGGCTCTTACTCAATTGAGGGTCAACTAGTTAGTTACAAGTGAGAGGGAGAGACTGGTTATTCTCTTCCCACCAGCCCTCTCCTCCTTACCCTACTTACTCCAAAATGCTGAGGCAGGAAAGAATGTATTTGTCTTTATGCACTGCTCCTCCTTTTCCCACCTCTGTTGTTGCTGTTATTGAGTCGGAGGCTCACTCACTTTATTGTCTCCAACCTGGGATGCAGAGCCACAATTATGGCTACCGTAGCCTCCACCTATTGGACTCAGGCAATCCTTCCTCAGCCTCCCAAGTAGCTGCAACTATATGTGCATGCCATGATGCCCAGCAAATTTTGTTTATTGCTTTATTTTATTGTACATATGAGGTCTCACCATGTTACCCGGGCTGGTCTCAAATTCCTAAGCTCAGACAATCCTCTCGCCCCGGCCTCCCAAAGTGCTGGGATTATAGGTGTGAGCCACCATGCCCAGGCTTTTTCCCCATATTTAAGTGAAGATATGCGTAAGACCTAATTTTCAGCCTTCTGCTCATCTCCATACTTGTTCTCCTGCAGATCACACTCACACTTACAGCATCAGTTATTATGCCACAGAAAATTCACTAGTGTACAATCTCCAAGTTCATCTTATGATATGTGCTGGGCTCAATTATCTGGCTATTCCTTCATTACCTCAAACTCTTGTTCTTAATTTTTCTGTTAGAAACATTTTTCTCTGCAAACTGTGTTTTTGTTCAGCATGCCCATCTGGCATCCTTCTTTAAGAATGCCATCTTTGGAATAGCTCCTTTATTGGTGTTCTGTCTGCTGCTCCCTTGCAGCATACTCAATAAACCTGCTTTTCTACTCTGAAAAAAAATTTTTTTAAAAAGAATGCCACATTCTAAAAGTATTAGATAGTTAATAGTTTCATGTTTATAAAATGTATAGAAACTGTTCACAGAATATCCAACTTAGATCCATTTCATATTTTTCCAGTGGGGAACATTTTGTCACTGGATCCCACTCTCATACCAAGTAATTTAATAGTTTTATGAGGGAAGTGAAATACCTCCAAAAAAGTTGAAAATATGTCAGTTGTTGGCTTTCGTGAATGCCTCTTATTAGGTAAGGAAATTCCCTTTTATTCCTAGTTTTCTGGGAGCATCTATAATGAATTAGCAAAAGGTTTTTTCTGTATCCATTGAGATCATCATATAATTTTTCTCCTTTATTCTGTTATGTGGAATTATATTGATTTTTGAATGTTAAACAAGCCTTCTATTCCTGGCATAAGCTCTTATAGTCATGTTATATTATCCTCTTTAATATATTGTTGGATTAAGCTTTATAATATATAAAGAATTTTTGTGCCTATGTTTGTGAGAGATATGAATCTTAGTTTTCTATTCTTATAATGTTAAGATTTGGTTTTGGTGTACTAGACATAAATTATTGGGATGTGTTCTCTTTTTTATTGAAATAATTTGTGTAGAATTGGTATTATTTATTCTGTAAATGTATAGATGTGTCCTTTTGAATTCTGAAATATTTGGACTTTTTCCATTAGGTATGATAGAATTAATCAATGAAGCTATCTGACCTGGAAGGCATCTGGACCTTTCTGTGAGAAGGTTTTTTTTAAATTACAAACTCAATTTTTTTCATTGATTCAGATTTCTTTTTGAGTCAGTTTTGGTCATTTGAATATTTCAAAGAATGTTTCTATTTTATTTTTTAAAATAAAAGCTTTAGACAAATTACATTTAGTGAAGTTCATTTAGCAAAGAACAGTTCATGAATTGGGCAGCCCTCAGAACCAAGAGAGATTCAGAGCAGTCTGAGCAGTCGGTATTTATAGACAGAAACAGGAAGCATCATATAAAAACAGCTTGACTGGTTACAGCTCAATGTTTGCCTTATATGGGCATGGTGTGATGAGGAATTTGCCTTAATTGGACATAGTATAATCAGCTGGAAACCTGTGATTGGCTGAGACTCAGTTATTTATTATAAGAATACTCTTAGGTTGCAGCTTGTCTATAGTACTGTTAGGTTATGTTAGGCTGCAGTTTGCTATGTAGGGACTCAAGATATGAAGGGAGCTTTAGATCAAATTCAATTTAACAGTTTAGATTGTCAAATTTATTGTCATTGTAAATGTATTGTCATTTTCATAACATTTAATCATGATATTTTTAAAGTCTGTATGATCTGTTGTGATATACCCACCTTCATTCCTATATTAGTGATTTGAGTCTTCTGTTTCTTAACCCATCTAGCTAGAGGTTTATCAACATGTCAAGCTTTTTAATGAAACAGCATTTGATTTTGTTGATTTTCTCTATTACTTGCCCATTTATATTACATTTATTTTTTCTCTTACTACCAATCTTAAGTTTAATTTGTTCTTCTTTTTCTAACTCCATCTAAGCCACATGTAAAATTGGAGCTTAGATAATTTATTTTAGGGTCTTTCTCTTTTCTAATTATGTAAAGTTATAAATTATTCTCTAATTACACAAATTTTGAAATAGGGTTTTTATATATATTCAGTTAAAAAGATTTTCTAATCTTCTTTCTGGCTCTTTTTTAACCCAGATGCTATTTATAAGTGTGATTTTAAATTTTGAAATATTTGGACTTTTTCCATTATGCTTCTGTTTTTCAGAAAATTATTATTATTTTTTAGAGAATTATTTTTTAGAGATTATTCTAATTATTTTTTGGAGAATGTTCTGTAATATTTCAATCCTTCTAAACTTATTGAGACTTGTTAATGACTCAGTGTATGATCTAGCATGTGAAATGTTCTATGTGTATTTGAAAACAATGTGTATTCTGCTGCTGTTGAGTGGAGTATTCTATAGATATCAATTAGATCACATTTTTGGTTAATAATGTTATCTAAATCTTCCATATTTTTATTGGTTTTTGCACATAATTGCTTTACTGTTTATTCAGAGAATGGGGCTGAAATATTAAAATATAACTAAATTGGTCTATTTCTTTTATTTTTATCATTTTTTGCGAAGCTCTAGGTATATACATGTTTAGGATTGTTATATGCTCTTGATTAATTGATTCTTTTGTCATTATGAATTATCCCTCTTTATCCTTGGTAATATTCAATATTCATCTTTAACTTAATACATTCTACCTTCATATAGTAATACGCCATTTCACATATATAAGAAACTTACAACACCATACTTCTGTTTTCCCTTTCTGTTCTTTGTGCTGTTGTTGTCATACATTTTACTTCTAGATATGTTATGAACCTCAAAATACAATTTTTATTTCAAACAATTTTTTAATAAATTAAAAAATAAAAACAACTAGAAATCAAGTTTTAATATTTATCTGAGTATTTACCATTTCATGCTCTTTTCATTTTAACATCTAGAGGACATTCGCAAAGAAACAAGACTGGGTGTGATGGCTCACGCCTGTAATCCCCACACTTTGGGAGGCAGAGGATTGCTGAACCCAGAGGTTTGAGACCAGCCTGGGAAACTTGATGAGACCTCATTTCTACAGCAAATTTTTTTTTTTTAATTAACCAAGCATGGTGGTACATGCCTGTGGTTCCAGCTACTTAGAAGGCTGAAGCATAAGAATCACCTTAGCCCAGCAGGTTGAGGCTGCAGTTAACTATGAGTATGCCAGTGCATTCCAGCTTGGGCAACAGAATGAGACTCCAACTCAAAAACAGAAAAAAAAGAAGAAAAAAAAACTTTGTTCAAATAAGACACTTTTCTTTCTTTAGAAGAGCACTGTTCTTCTAAATCTTTTCACTGAAATCTGTGTTAATTATAATTTAAGCTCTCACACATGTAGTAACTGCCTATAGCAGGTATGAGTTGAAATGAATTAGGACAACTTATTTTCTTTCTTGGCTCTTAGTTTATCATGTGACAGGCACTTCATGAGAAATCGCTATAGTTACAATCTAGCCCTGGGAAGGAACTTCAAGGGTTGTGAATGGAACCCAGATTTGCTTGAAATCTTGATCCAGACAGACCAAATCTCATCCCCTAGAGATCCCAAGCAGTCTTAAACAATATCAAACTAAAGCTTCATCCAAGTAAAATTTTACCCTGCATACGTTTTCCTCACAAGAACTCAGGGCTGAATCAACATTCTCAGACCCTCCCATCCAGGTGTGGTCAGAACTTTCAGTAACTACATCCACAACACAGTTTGAAAACACAGCTTTAAAAAATTAGTCATATGTGACCTGGTTCTAGACTTTTAGCAAGAAGAACTCAGAGTCTTCCAGCTCTGAAATACTGAAGAATTTATTGGTTTCAGGGTAATCTCAGAAAGAGGGTAGGGAAGAGTTTTTCAAAGGAGATCAGAGAATGAGAAGACCAGTAAAGGGATAATCTCCATACCAGTGCTACAAAAATATCAACATTTATTTATAACTTTCTATTTGTTGAGAACTTGACTAAGGACTGAGCACTTTAAGATCACAAATAAGGACAGAATTTAAAGGGTCAGCAATTAAGTCAGCCATAGCAGAGAGCATGTGAATTCAGACGGGAAGCCAAAACTGGAGTGCAGCTAGAATTCAGATCTCTCCCAAGTCTTCTTCTTTTCCAGAATGTTGTCACCTGTGACAAGATACACATAGTTACTTCCATTCTTGGATTCAAAATTCTAAACTCAGGCCCATCTTCCCCCACTTCCTTTATACCCGATCCCCCCATTTCTCTGTCCTATACAGGTTCCAGGGAGAGGATGGTCATTCCTGTCATGCTCTGGTCCTCCAGGTGAACAGCAGTTAGGAAACAGGGAGTATTCTAAAGTAATTGAATTTCACCCCCAAACCCCAGCTGATTTTGGGAGCGTCCCACATGCTTCAAGTCTCCAAATTATGCTGAGAAGGGAAAGGGTCACTTTATGGAGACCAGAGAATAAATTTAATTCTGCAGTAATGGCAATGAAGAAAGGATGCTCACATTGTGCAAAACGCTCTTTGAAGGAATTCCAAAACCTAGGTATATTTTCTCAAATGACCTCAGTTGAACATCTGACACTAATCAGTACTTCCTCCTTCCTGACATTATTTCCTTCCTTGGCTTATGTGATATTCTCCTAGTTCTTCTGCCTCCTTGCTTCTTCTCCATTTTCTTTAAATACCTCTCTTTTGATATTTTTAAAATCATGTATTTTTGCATTAATTTTGATTTTTAAGTTGTTTCATTAAAATGTGGCTTATTTTTATTACTGAGTTCTTTGGGTACCCCTCTAAATTTTGCACATAAGACAAGTACATCCTTCACCTCACCCTAGTCCCAATCCTGTTTTCCATATTTCCTCTTAACATCTGACATTTTCCACTCACTTCATTCTGTTATTAATAATTATAAATTATCATAGACAATAATTATAAATGTGTTTGAATGAAGAAAAAGAAAAAAAAGGAAGAATGTGCCCTACTAGATAGTAACACATACTTCAATGTCACAGTAATCATAAGACTAGGATACTGGTACAAAGAGAGAAAATAGAAAAATGGAACAATATAGAGCTCAGACACAGACTTGTCTATAACATGAATTTTCAATATAACAAAGGGGACCCACAAACTTACAGATAAAAGATGAATCACCACCATATGGGGAAAAATAAAGCTTGATCCACATCAAACACAAAAGTAGATCCCAGAAGAATTAAAGAAGTAAATGTGAAATTTAAAACTATAGGAAACATTTTAAAGTATCTTTGAGACCTCAGTACGAAGAAGATTTCTTTTTTAAAAAATCTCATTAGCAATATATAAAATATTGATGAATTTGATTATAAAATACTAAAGATTTCTGTTTAATTAAGGAAACCAGGGAAGAAGCTGCAAGAGGTCTGATTTGGAGAAATCATTTGCAATGCCTAAAATGATAAGGGACAAGAAGACTATACAAGGATCCTGCAAACCAATAAAAAAAAGATAGGAGCCCACAATACAAAGCTGGACAAAGAATGTGAACCAGCAATTTACCGAAAAGGAACCCCAAAGTGGCTGACCAACATAGAAGATAATCTCAATTATAAGTAATTAAAGAAGTGCAAAATAAAGTAGCATATGTATTCCTTTATGCACATGAAATTGACAAAAGCTAGAAAACTGGATAACGTTCAGTGCTGATGTGAATTTAGTTGTAGAAAATTTCAGGTATTGCCGAGGGAAATATAGATTAACACAGTCATTCAGGTGAGCAGATGGATAATATTTAATCAAATTAAGAAGCTGCATCCCCAGTGACCCTGCAACCCCATTTTAGGGTGCATACATTGCAGAGATGCAAGTCCATATGCATATTCAGGTCCACATGAGAATATAAGCATGGCTTGCAATAGTGGAGAACCAGAAATAGTACAGGTATCTTAGTGGGAATATAGATAAGTGGATTGATTTAGTTTGGATATTTGTCCCCTTTCAATCTCATGTCAAAAAATTGATGCCACAGTGTTGGAGATGGGGCCTGGTGGGAGGCATTTGGGTCACAGGGGAAGATCCCTCATGAATGACTTGGTGCCCTCCTTGGGGTAATGAGTGAGTTCTCATTCTATTAGTGTACTCAAGATCTGGTTGTTAAAGAGTCTGACACCTCCTCCTCACTCTTTTGCATCCTCTCTTGCCATGAAACACATTGACTTCCCTTGCCTTCCACCACAAGTAAAAGCTTCCTGCGGCCTTACCAAATACCAAGCAGATGCTGGCACCATGCTTCCTATACAGATGATGGTGCCATACTTTTTATACAGCCTGTAGAACCGAATGAAATAAACCTCTTTTCTTTATAAATTACCCAGCCTCAGGTATTCCTTTATAGCAAAACAAAAAGACTAACACATGAATGTATGGAGTAGAATATTATAGAAGAGCTGGAAGCAACAATCTATATGTACAAAATTAGACCTATAATATAATGTCATTTTGTTAATTAAAAAATACACGTACACAAGGAAAATACTACATGTTATACGGATTATTGCAAACAAAAGAAAACTCATCAAATCTACTAGAACATTTACTTATGGGGTAGGGGTAAGAGATGAGATATGAGAGTAAAGCCTGGGAATAGAAGGGAACAAATAAGAGAGAGAACTTGGAGGTATCGATGATGACCTTATACATGAACTGAGTAGTATTATTAACTTATCCCTTTGTACCTGAGGTCCAGCGAGGATAATAATAATAATGATGATGAAGTAAATGTGATCATCACCATGGAAGAGAATTACAAAACATACAAATATATAACACATAGTAAGTGTGATGGTAAGTAGAAAACTATGGAATCCCAGAAGGGGCATTTTTATGTGAGCTTTTCCATTCTGTAAGTCCAAGTAAAGACAGCAAATAGTCTACAGACAACTGAAACATTGAGGTGCAATTATATATAGAAATATGGATCTGGATTCAGTATTAGACTATAAGCTCTTGTAGAGTCTGAGGTCGGTCTTTTTTTTTTTTTAATAAAACAGGGTGTATAGGACAGTGGTTAAGCAGTTTTGAATCCAGACTTCCTGGATTGGAAAGCTAGCTCCACTGCTTCCTAGCTGTGTGACCTTGATCAAGTTGCTTAATGTCTCTGTGTATGTAAGAAGATGTGTAAGATTACCTCTCATGTAAAATGGTGCAGTACCTACCTCACAGAGTATTTATGGGGATAAATGAGTTAATAAATGTAAATACTCAGAATAGTGGCTGAGCATATTAAGTACTCAGTAAATTATCAGTACCGTTTTGTTATGCAGCCCGATGCTTTTAAGTCATTAAGAGATCAATGTACACTTATCAAATTGAATTTTTACTTTTTTCCTTATATAGTACAAATCCAAGGCTTCCTCCTTTTTTCCTCTAACTATATCCTAAGATCCACACCTCCACAATAACTCACAGGGGCCCCTGGGCTCTGGGGTCACGACCAGAATGCAGAGCCTTTATGATGAGGATGGTGCCAGCGATGATGCCCACCAGGCCCAGCAGCAGGCCCAGGGCACAGAGCACAGTCTCCATCGTCTCAGGCATATCAATACGCTCCTGGGCCTCTGAGGAAGGAATAAAGATGAAGTCAGAAAGTGCAGTGAGGGTGTGGGCTGGCCTGGGATGGGCATGGCAATTGAAGGGTATGGACAAGTTGATGGCAAATTAGGACAAGGAGAGGTTTGGACCGGGCAAGTGGGGAAGGCTAGTATAGAGGGCGCTCCTGGTCCTGGGAGTAGAGGAGAGGATGCCAGGAGATAAAAAGAGGAAAAGGGACTGCATTAAGAAGAGGAAAAGGGACTGCATACCCCAGTGCCCAAGGAATGGCTCGTCCAGGCCCCAGTGTTCCACTTTGCAGTCATAGACATCGTCAGTCAAGGGCATGAAGGTCAAGTAGTGGAACTTGTGGAAGCTGTAATCTGTTCTAGGCAGGAAGATGGTCTCAGAGACACCTTCAGTGACCGGCTGCCCATTGCGCAGCCACGTGACATTGAGCACCGGCGGGAAGAACTTGTCAATGTGGCAGATGAGGGTGTTGGGTTGGCCCAGCTCCACAGGCTCCTTGGGAAACACGGTCACCTCAGGGGGCTCTGGGAGGAAACAGGACCTGATGAGTTCCCTGATCTGGATTGAATCACAGAGGTTCCACCTTTGGATGTCATCTACTTCAGGCCTAGACTTTAGGGTACCTCTGGGTCCCCGAATCAGAGCCAGGAGTGTCAGTCCACTGGCCAGTCTCACTCAGCTCAGCCTTTCTCACACGTGAGAAGGGTTGATGCCACCCCCCAGCTGTACTGCAATAAGCCCGTGTCCGCTCAGGGGAAGAGGATCCCTCAACAGTGGGCATCTGGATCTTCCATTCTGGGTGTGGCACAAGGGCCCTCCCATGCCTTCCCACTTGACTAGAGAGGAAGAAGCAAAAAAGGCAGTACCGCTGGTGGCCTGGGTATGGTTGGAACGCTGGATCAGGATATTCAAGTTGGTGTTCGCTATAGCGATGTTAGCCAGCCCGCCCTGAGCCTCAAAGGAAAAGGCTCGGCCAAACTCCTCCAGATGCCAGACCGTCTCCTTCTTGTCCAGATCCACGTAGAACATCTCATCTTCATCAAACTCAAACATAAACTCCCCTGATGGCCTAAATGTCTGTGCAAATATGGCATAAGTTGACACATGGTCCGCTGCATAAAGAAAGAGAAAAATGTGATAAAGTGAAATTATGAATATGTAAGTGGTAGAGGCCAGAGAATGAATAAAGATTCATGACTATAAAAAGGCAGAAGGAAAGAGGCCAAAGGAAGGACATATAGGGGAAGAGGAGTAACACCAAAAAAAGAGATAACATAGAGCAGATGAGCAGTTATAAAAGGAAAAAAGGAAGGAACAAAATGAGATGGGATTTGCTGAGAAGTCAAGCTGCTTCCTGGCCTTAGAAAGTCTGGACATCCTGAACCTACATAAATAGTAATAATAACAATGACAAGTCACCTTTTTTGTCACTTACTATGTGCATGGCACTATTCTAAACACTTTATATATTTCTCTCATTTAATGGTTACAATAACCCTACAAAGCATATACATAATGCACTATTTTATAGATAAGACAAAGCAGAGAGGTTAAGTAACTTGCATAAGGTCACACAGCTATTGTGTGTATTGCAGAGAGATTTTTCTCTCCCCATAAGTTCTCAAGTTCTTCTAGAACCACAAATATAAAATTGTTTTTAATGACATGGGTTGTGGGTATGGAAATTTTATTTTTCTTATTACAGAAAAGGGAGAAAAAAACAGAAAACTGAGGAGAAGAAAATGTCCTTCAAATTTTCTGCTCTCTATAGTCTTTAAGTTTCTGTTTTAGTTTATGAATATGAAACTGCAGGCTGTATATCCTTGTTCACAATATTTTTTACGTTAGTCATAGTGTATTCAAAAATATAGTACAATTATTTTGGCTTTTATTCCAAACTTTCTTTTTAATATATGTTTTTATTTTTGTCTTAAATGAAACTACAAATTTTTGCTGAGTTTTAAATACCTGTGGAATTAATTTTGTTTCTTAGTTTTGATTAGTTTGTAAGAAGTAGCAAAAACAAGAGGTAAAAGAAATTGTCATTATTAAAGTGATGATATATGAGAGTTTCTGGGTTTAGAATGTTAGATTAATAAGAGGGAAAAGGGACTTCAGGTTATCTGGTCCAACCTCCTGACTCATGGCTTTCCCTGTGAGTTTGTGGCTCTGACATGTGCTTGGTTTCTACTTATGGTGAGAAGGATAATGTTTTTTCACAAGGATACTTAGCATCCTCCTCAGGTGAAAAGAATCATCTTCAGAAAAGGGAGTAAAATAAAGAGAAACAAAATCTAATAAAAATTACTGAGAACTCAAACTCTTAATAGATTAATGTAATTTGTACTTTTATTGATTTTTAAAAAACATTTTCACAAATTCTAGGATCTAAAGATCAGCCAAATATGAGACTAATTATTTTCCTTCAAATATCATATTCATTCAGACAAAAATGTATTAAATCCTACTATACATCAAGCACTGTTAATGATAAATATTAAAATACGAATAAGACATAGTTCCTGTCCTTCAAATGCTTACAATTCACTTAAGGAGACAGACAAGTAACAAGACAACAGTAAACACAGTCTAATAAATGTACAAATATTATTATGCATAAGATGCTATCAAATAAGGCACTGAGGAAGGCTTTGAGGAACAGATGGCTTGAATTTAGGTAGTCTAAAAACAAGAGAAAAGCCATTTCTCACACATAGGGACTAATGTTCAAAAGTATAGGCCTAACACTGCATATAACATATTTGGAGAACTTCCGACACTTTAGTATGACTGGAACTAGTTTCAGATGTGGAACAGCAGCAGAAAATAAGAACTCAACAGGCAGAAGCTAGATCATGACAGACCTAACATGCAAAGCTCAGAAGTAGTAATGCTATCCTGAAACTCACAAGAATCACTGATGGATTCTAAGCAGGAGAGTGACAGCAGATTTGCAATTTAGGAAGATCACTATGGCAGCAGTGTGCAGCATGAATGGAGAAGCTAGTTGAAGAGGCAAGACCAATAGTGCTTGAACAATGAGAGAGAGAGAAAATGGGCACAGTAGCAAAAGGTAGGGAGGAGAGGGATGAATTTAATTGACATTGGAGAGATTAAACCTTTCAGGAATTGGTGAGTGATGTGGGCAGTAAGGGAGGTGGAAAACTGCCAGTTAATTTTCTTATTTCTAGACTGGTCAATGTAATCATCTTTTTTTGGTCACTTTTAAAAATTATTTTTAATAGACAAACAATAATTGTATGTATTTATCATGTACAACATGTTGTTTTGAAATACTTATACACTGTGGAATGCCTAAATTGAGCTAATTAGCATATGTGTCATCTCACAAACTTTTTTGTTGTAAATATACTTAAAATCTATGCTCTTAGTAATTTTCAAAAACACATTACATTGTTATCAACTACAATCACTATGTTGTACAATAGATTTCTTGAACTTATTCCTTTCATCTAAATGAAATTTTGTATTCTTTGAGCACCATCTTCCCAACCCAATACAATCATCTTGATTTTATTAACTTAAAAAGTAATAAAGAGCCGGGCTCGGTGGCTCAGCCTGTAATCCCGTGCCTTGGGAGGCTGAGGTGAGTG